TGTCCTGGGGACCTTCCCCAGGGTGTAGGGCAGGAGGGACCTGACTTGGGGACAGGGCGTCAGGCCCTGGGGACCTTCCCCAGGGTGCAGGGCAAGAGGGACATTGCCTGGGGACAGGGCGTCAGGCCCTGGGGACCTTCCCCAGGGTGCAGGGCAAGAGGGACCTTGCCTGGGGACAGGGCATCTTGTCCTGGGGACCTTCCCCAGGGTGTAGGGCAGAAGGGACCTGCCTTGGGGACAGGACGTCAGGCTCTGGGGACCTTCCCCAGGGTGTAGGGCAGGAAGGACCTGCCTTGGGGACAGAGCACTGCACCCCGGGGACCTTCCCCAGGGTGTACGGCAGGAGGGACCTTCTCCAGGCATGGGGCATCATGCCCTGGGCACTTCCCCAGGGTGTAGGGTGGGAGGGACCTTGCCTGGGGACAGGGCATCGCGCCCCGGGGACCATCCCCAGGGTGTAGGACAGGAGGGACCTGCCTTGGGGACAGGGCATTGTACCCTGGGGACCTTCCCCAGGGTGTAGAGGAGAAGGGACCTTCCCCAGACATAGGGCATCATGCCCTGGGCACTTTGCTAGGGTGTAGGGCAGGAGAGAACCTGCCTTGGGGACAGGGCATCGCGCCCCGGGGACCTTGCCCAGGGCATAGGGCAGGAGAGACCTTCCCTGGGGACAGGGCGTTGTGCCCTGGGGACAATCCCCAGGGTGTAGAGAAGGGACCTTCCCTGGGGATGAGACAAGGTGCCGCAGGCGCTTTGCCGGGGTGTGGGTACCCTCCCCAGGGACAGGGCACCAGGCACCGTTCCCAGGGCGTAGGGTACCGGGTACCCTCCCCAGGGACAAGGCAAGGTGCACCAGGTATCCCGCGGGGTGTCGGGCATCATCCACCGGGTACCAGTTCCCCTCTGGGGCACCATGCTGGGCGTAAGGCTCAGGGCACCATGCCTGGCACTGCCACCGGCTGTGGGACCCCCCCAAACCCACCCCAGGGTGCCCACCACCCCGGGGTGACCTTGGGCGAGGGGAGCACGGCAGCAGCGTATTCATCACGGTTCTGTTTTTTTCTGCTTTCCAGTGGTTATTGAAGATGATAGAATTGATGATGTGCTGCAAAATCTCGCGGAAAAGGCCCCTCCCGGTGTTTAAAGCCTCCCCGGGGACGCTCGGCTGAAGCCGGGGGGCTGGGGGCGGGGGGGGTGTTTGGTTTACAACGGCGCAGGTTATCGGCAAAAAATAAAAGCCCCCCAAGACGGCAGCGACGGCGCCGAGCAAGCACTTGGAGAGCCGCCCTCGCCAGGCTGCAATCCCCACCGCACAGCAGCACAACCT